GGGCTCCCTAACTATCACACAGGAAAGTCATAACTATGCTTGCAAGCCTTATCTCACAGAAATAAAGGAAAAAGGCAAAAGTTTACAAAACTAATGCATCCAGGAAGCCATTACCTAATGGAATGCTCAACCCACACAACACTGTGCTCCAACTCTGGTCTGCCGAGCTTCAAGCTTTCCAAAAGGAACTCACCTTGACAGTAAATGCATTAGAACCAGAATAACTTACTACTCATGTGGTCCAGAGGCATAAAATTGGCTGGTATACCATTAAACCAACAGTAACTAACGAATTTTAAAAAACCAAACCCGTTACTGTTGAGTCGATTCCAACTCCTAGTGACCCTAGAGGACAGAGTAGAACTGCCTCATAGGGTTCCCAAGGAACAGCTGGTGGATTCGAACTGCTGACCCTTGGTTAGCAGCTGAACTCTTAACCACTGTGCCACCAGGGCTCCAAAATAATGATAGATATTATCAAATCCAGCCACCAGAAAATGCTTTATCCATTTACAGAACACCAAGGCCTATTAAAATGCAAGTTCTCTTAAATGTTAGATATTCTTAATCTTGTTAGTTCTTTAGTAAAAATATTTGATTGTTTTGATTTGTATTCCTATCATGACATGTTGAGCATCTTTGATGTATTATTGGCATTTTGTATTTTTTCCTTCCATGAACTGCTCTTTTTCTTATTGATTTTCAGGAGCTTTTTAAAAAATCTTCCAGAGAGTCGATTTTGTGTGCTATTTATGTTACATGTATTTCTTTCCTATGTGTTGTTTGTGTCTTTATGCTGTGTTTCACGCTACAGAAGTTTAATTTTTTTTCTTGTTAAACCTGAATTCACTTTTAGGTTTTGGAGAATTGCTAAGAAGATCTTCCCATCCCAGCCCAATGTTATTTTTAAAAATCTGTATTCAACAAATGGATTTAACTTTTGTATTTAGCTTTCTCATCCATTGAAAATGTAACGTTGCATGATGTGAAGCAGTAATTGATCAATCATTTCCATGTAGAGACAATTATATAAAGAATATTTAACACAGCACTAGGCTATCTTTACCATAAACTAAATTCCCATATATATGAGTCTGTTTCTGAACTCTTTTGTTCTTGCACACTATTTCTATGCCAATGCCACCTAATTTTAATCATTATTGTGTTGTATATTTTTCTATACCATGTAGGAAGTCTCCTGTTATTGATCATCTTTTTCAAAAAATTTATTCATTCTTCATATGCATTTCTCTCTATCTGGTGTACTTCTGATTTAGAGAAGGCTTTCTGACCACTCTTTCTTGTGACTCTCATAAGACTCCTGGATAACCCCCTTTTTTTACCTGCAACAAGGCCACACACAGACCCTCCAACTACCTGTTCTTTGTCTCATAGAATCATAAAATGTTATCCCCCTGAAACTAGTTAAAGAGATAAACATTTTCTGTTCAGCTGACTGAGACTTGCCCTGATTGCAAACAATGCCCACTGTGAATCACCCCACCTGTGACTTGTCTACTCCTCCCTGTGAAAGGCTAGGGCAAAATCCTCCTGCCGGAACACCTCATCTTCAGCTCCGGGGTGCTTTCCTTTAGCAACAGTGTGGGTAAAACCATCTCCTTAGCTGTCCTGTGCATTCTGTCTTTGGCATCTTACTTGGAAGGCGTTCACCCTCCTTTCCTTCTTCCTCCTTCTTAATGCTTGAAATGTATGTGTCAAAGCCAGAACTCGAGCAGCCTTCTTGGACCATCAGGGGGCATACATTCAGCTTTGTTGTTGGCGGCCACATAGATTCTAACGCATGATAACCAATCCCATGTGTGCAGAGTAGAACTGCTCCATAGGGCTTTCAAGGCTGTGACCTTTTGGAAGCAGATTGCCAGGCCTTTCTTCTGAGGTGCCTCTGGGTGGGTTCACACCTTCAACCTTTGGGCTAGTAGTCGAGCTCTTAACCGTTTGAGGCACCCAGGGGCTCCCAGATCTAACAGGAGCCCTACTACAGGAACCTTTTGTAAGGGCTGTAATAGAAGCACCAAAACCCCAAACCAAACTCACTGCTGACTAGTCAATTCCGATTCATAGGTATCCTATGAGTCGGAATCGACTGGACCGCCACAGGTTTGGTTTTTATAGGGTCATTATGAGTTGGAATGGAAACCCTGGTTGCATAGTGGGTAAGAGCTACGGCTGCTAACCAAAAGGTCGGCAGTTGGAATCTACCAGGCGCTCCTTGGAAACCCTATGGGGCAGTT